TTGGACTATAAAGAAAGCTGAGCACTGAAGAATTGATGTTTTTGAATTGTGGTGTTGGAGAAGACTCTTGAGCATCCCTTGGACTGCAAAGAGATCCAACCAGTCCATCCTAAAGGAGATCAGTCCTGGGTGTTCATTGGAAGGACTGATGTTGAAGCTGAAACTCCAGTACTTTGGCCACCTGATGCGAAGAGCTGACTCATTGGGAAAGACCCTGATGCTGGGAAAGATTGAAGGCAGGAGGAGAAGGGGATGACAGAGGATGAGATGGTTGGATGGCACCATCGACTCGATGGACATGGGTTTGGGTGAACTCCAGGAGTTGGTGATGGACAGGGATGCCTGGAGTGCTGTGGTTCATGGGGTCACAAAGGGTCGGACATGACTGAGCGACTGAACTGACCTGAACTGATGCTGTTTCCATATATTGGCTATAGTAAATAATGCTGCAGTGAATATGGGGGTACATACATCTTTTCAAATGAGTGTTTTTGTTTTCTTTGAATAAATACCCAGAAATGAAACTGATGGATGGTATGGTAGTTCTATTTTTAATTTGTTGAGGAAGCTCCATACTATTTTCCAGAGTGGCTGTACCAATTTACATGTCCACAATAAAGCACAGGAATTCCCTTTTTTTCCACATCCTGGCCAACACTTGTTATTTTTTGTTTTTGTTTTTTATCAGAGCCATTCTATCAGGCATGAGGTAATAATCTCATTGTGGTTTTGATTTGCATTTTCTTGATGATGGTCCACTGCTTTCTTACATCCCCATAGGGTAGGTTTCAGGGAACCAGGTCACATAGAGCTAGCTGCCCATATACCTTAGATTCTGGTGTATACCATGTGCATATGTTCTTATTTATGTACTTATTAAATACTTATTACCCATTTCAAACTACATTTATATTGAATTCAAAAATGAATAAGAAGAATGAAAAAGAGCAACATGAATAAGTGGTTTGGAAATTTTTTTTTAATTATTTGAAAGCAGTAACTATGCCGATTTCATTCATCTTTAAATCTTTAATTTGGATGTAGTGAATACTATGTTCTTGTCATTTATTCCCAAATTCTTTCTTCTCAGTATGGTCTATTTACCATTTGTAGATCATGTGGTACCAGAGAGGCTAAATACAAACTGTGGTTCGAGGGGAGACACATGTGACCTGGGCTAAGCCGGTCACTGTACTTCTTCCTCTGGTCATGGTATTGGCTCACAAGTGAACATGTTACCTGAGCTGGCTCAGTCACAATGATTATTTTAAATTTTTGCTGGGCGTGATGAGGCAATGAAATTTTCTCTGGATAGGCATCATTGGACCAGTAGTGGATGATGAAGAAATGACAGAAAATAGAGTAGAAAAACAGATGGCAAGAGAATAGGTTCCTTGTTTGACATTGCTGTTTTGAGTCACGTTTATTTTTCTATGCAAATGAAAGTATCATCATCAATATGTTGTAATGATGTCTGCCACATAGTAGGTATTCAGTAATTTTGTAAAATGAGTGAGTGATTGATCGGTTATACCATACTGAAATTTTCATACAGACTGAAAATATCTTTGTTTTATCTATACTTCACAAGAGTTAAAAATAGAAGAATTAGAAAAATCAAAACTAGAGAAAGCCATCAATTTATAATGAAGTATTTTGGTAGTAGAATTGGTGAAGCCCAATTAAATACGTATACAGAAGTTCTTCTGGATACAAACCCTGGTATCCTTTTCACCCTGAAGGATGTTACATAATAAAGATAAGTACCCTAACCATGGGTAAAGTGGTAAAGAACCTTCCTGCAATGCAAGAGACTCAGGTTCAATCCCTGTGTTGGGAAGATCCCCTGGAGGAGGGCACAGCACCCCACTGCAGTATTCTTGCCTGGAGAATCCCGTGGACAGAGGAGCCTGGCTATAGTTCATCGGGTTGCAAAGAGTAGGATACAACTGACATGACTGAGCGTGCCCACACACCCTAACCATCCGATCTAAAGTGACTGCATCCCTTGCAACATTCTCTAACCATGTCCCTTCTTAATTTTCATCCATAGCAGTCACCAACATATAACATATTTTATTTTACTTATTTTATCCAGGGATATATATGCAGTATTGTAAGCTCTATGGGCTTATGGATTTTAACCTCTTTTAAACATTGTTGTATTCCTAACCCCTAGAACAGTTCCTAATATGTAGTAAACACTTGGTAAATACTTGACAAACAAATGAATAAATTATAACTTTGCTTAGCAAATAGCAATAAAGGCAGATTGTGTATAAATTATCATTTAGAATAACACAGGGCCTTCTGCTTCAGGTCAGCTAAGGGAGCTTACTTAGAACCCAGAGACATCCTAGATCTAAGCTTCGGGGAAGTCTAATTCCTCTGAAAACTGGATGGTCGGTATCAATTTCACTTGTTCAGAATCCATAGAGAAAGATAGTAGGTCAAATTATCTCTGCATTCTCTCATCTGTATTCTTGTCACTCACCTCTGACAGGCCCTGAGTTGGGACTCTTTAGAGATAATCTCAGTGACTCTTTAAAAAAGCATTTGGAGGCTAGTAAAACAAACACAGGTGAGACTAGACTACTTGCAATTGCATTTTACTCTAGGAATAAACAATCCTTTAATTCAGCTGCCATTTTTAAAAATAATCAAGCAATGCAGCAAAATTTAAGAAAAAGTTTTAGGTCTCAAGAAATGTTTCATCAACCTATAAAATAGGTTAGGGATAGACCCAAAGGTGAGTGTGCAGTCTGTCAAATGAATTTTTTACATCAGAGATGTAGTGACAATGACCTTCTAGAAATCCTTTGATCAACCAAACCAAACCAGGAGCTACATTTTGAAACACTGCAGCAATTTACTGTATACTACATTTGTCTGGACATATCTAAGCTTTTCCCATATTAGTGACATTCTTGTTTCTATAGAAACTAATGAACTTTTAAGGGAAAACTTAATGGCCAAAAGAGAATAAAAAAGAAGCCCTGTGACAAAAGTTAACTATGCGAGGGAAGAACTTGTCAAAGGGTTTTCCCTTGACTTAAATAATATAAAAATTTTTTAATGTTTATTTATTATTTTGGCCATGCTGATTCTTTGCTGCTATATGCCAGCTTTCTCTAGTTGCAGCAAGCAGGGGTTAGTCTTCCTTGCAGTGCAAGGGTTTCTCACTGCAGTAGCTTCTCGTTGCAGAGCACGGGCGCTAGGGCACTTGCGCTCAGTAATCGTGGCACATGGGCTTACTTGGAATCTTCCCCGACCAGGGATCAAACCTGTGTCCCCAGCATTGACAGGTAGATTCTTAGCCTTTGCATCACCAGGGAAGTTCCCTTGATTTAAATAATTTTTGATTGGAGGAAAATATCTTTAAGAAGTAGCTCATGAATAGTTGGCAGTGCATGTACAGTCATGAATTAATCTCACCTTGAGGGTTTTTTTGTTATTAATTTTATTGGCATATAGTTGATTTATAATGTTGAGTTAGTTTCAGGTGTATAGCAAAGTGAATCAATTATACATCTGATAATTATACATCTATCCACTTAAAAAAAAATTCTTTTCTTATATAAGCCATTACCGAGACTCCTATGCTGTATAGTAGGTCCTTATTGTTAATAGTTATCTATTTTATAGAGGATAGTGTCTATATGTCAATCACAATCTCCCAATTTATGTCTCTCTTCCCTCCACTTGAATTTTAAGCACCAGATCATACTGGAAACTGGGCAAGAGCAAGTGAAATGAAAAAGGTGACTCATTTATTAAGCAGTGACACATGTTTCATTGTATGATATGATTTATTATGACTACTCAAAGGCAAATAAAGCACTTATTTAATATAAACTCAGAGGTTATATTAAATCATCATAAAGTCCTGATGTTATAAGATGATAGGTATTATCTGGTTAAGATTCTGTACATTGCAGCAAATTATTTAGCAAGGTCAACGAGGTGATTTAATCTATTCTTTCATGACAAAGACGCTTATTGTAAAGAGTATTTACATGTATTTGTACATATCTATGGGCTTCCCAGGTGGCACCAGTAGTAAAGAACCCACCTGCCAATGCAAAGATATAAGAGATGTGGGTTTTATACCTGGGGCAGGAAGATCCCCTGGAGGTGGACGTGGCAACCCTCTCCAGTATTCTCTTCTGGAGAATCCCATGGACAAAGGAGCCTGGCAGACTGCAGTCCATGGGGTCGCAAAGAGGTAGATGTGACTGAAGTGACTTAGCATGCATGCATACATACCTATGTGCACACAAACATTTGAAAAATGTGGATGAAGAAAGTATCAGCAGAGAAACTATGCAGCATTGGAATCACTTCCAATAGAGATTCTTAAGGGCATTTCAATTAGTGTAAGGGAATTTCATTGTGAGGCTGGTGTGTGGAACGGGATGGGCAGGAGCAGGCAGGAAATAGGTGTGAGGGCTAACTCATGTCACCTGCTGTCTCTGAGGTGTCGCACTTGGGCGCTCCTCCTGAGGCTGAACTGCATTCCGTTGTCTTCCCAGGAGACTTCTCGCTTGGGTGGGGCTGAGGAATGATAGTCCACGGCATACATGGACCCTGGGTTCACACAGGCAGAGCGAACTGACCTAAAATATCTTTGTTCAGTTTTACCTGGAGCAGCACTTCAGGGTAGGGTGCTTGTATTTGCACAAGTGAATTAAAATCCACGTCTTGGTTGACTGACTGAGTTGGGAGAGCAACCAACTCAAACTCATTTACAGAGAAAAGGAGCAAAAGAAATGCAGTAAGAAGGAAAGAGTGGATGAAGAATTTCTTGTCAAGAATATCTTGTCAAGACACTAAGCCTTACAAAGTGTTTACAGAAATATACTTCATATTCAGAAGGCAGTGGAGATAGTCGTTCATGTTATTCAGGTTAGGCTAGACCATGCAGTGGGAATGAATGCGCTCCCAAGTCACAGGGCGCCACAGAGTGAAGCTCACAGAGTGAAAACTTGTTCCTCACTTACACCAAGTCCGAAGTCCGTTGGAGGGGCATCACCTCTTCCCAGAAATTCAGGAAAACAGGCTCTCATCACCTCACGGTATGTTCTCCGTATACATGGCTCCAGAGGGTGCTTGGTAAGAGAGAGAAGGGAAAGGCACCCTGGCTTTTAAGTGACTCACCCTGGACGCGACATGTTATTTCTGCTCACAGTCATGTTGGTCTAGTCTAGTTCAGAGAATCTGGGGAGTAAAGTAGAGCACATGAATTTACTCAGCAAATATTAACTGACTCAGCCAAACACATGAAAGGAAGTGACAGAAAAGGGTGATAAAGGAGAGGATGAATAAATAAAGGAATTAGACTATTGAGGCATGTGAAGACATAATAGAGCAGGAGACCAAAACCCAGCCTCTCCCCATGACATTAATGGTTGATTAAGGGTTGACTTTAATCTTAATTTGTAAACAATGCCTTTTTTCTAAACTCCAGAGTAATGCATGTGGACATTTAGGAAAATTTTTGAAACAAGAGTGTATGTTTAATTTCACCCCTCCCTTTCCCATCAATCAGTTGCAACATGCTTTTTTTTTTTTAATGTGTCCTCAAATATTCCCTTTTAGACAGAATTCCTTATTCTCCCCACTGGGAACAGGCTGCTCCTACCTCTCAAGGATCACTTAGCACATGGTTGAACCTGAAGCCCATCTGTGCGCCTTGCTGGACTTGAGTTCCTGGGCAGCTTTGCTTCCTCAGGGCCTGGCATGGATCTGGCATAGAACCAAATGAATGGATGATTCTCACAGGGGTAAGCAAAGGAGTGAATAAATAAATGGATGGATCGTTTGCTTGTTCTTTAAGTTTTGTGTTAGAGTTACATATTTTCCTGTGTAATATGTAACTCTAATATTTTCTCTGCTCTAAATTCTGTAGTAAAACTCTTAATTCTTACTTCTTCAGAAGTCTTAGGGGACCCAGATTGATGGGAAGCCAAGATGTGCAGAGGCCTCAGTCTGTGAGGCTGCAAGATACACAGCCTTGTTAGGACATGCCAGGGCAGGATATGGCCACTGGATGCAGTCAGGAACTCGTGCCTGTGGAAATAGAGGGCTATCTGCTAATGCAGGGGATAAGGCTGGAAACTGGGGGCTTTTCATAGGACCGCAGGCTAAGACAAACAGTAGACAGAGCGGGCTGGGAAGACCTAGAATAATCAAGACTGAGACAGAGCTCAGTAGAGATAAAGAGGCTGTTCTGAATCCTGAAATGGAGGTAGTCATCAGTTAGATCCCTTAAACTGTAACTTGTTTAATAAATAATATCCTGTAACCAGCCTTCACTGACTAAGCTCTCTTCAATTGTTCTGGCCAATTGCATACACTCTAAGCTTCACGTAGCTTAGACAATATGTCACAAGACTCTTTAACCACCCTGAATAGAAAACACCTCTGACGCATGGGCCAATTTAGTAACCATTGCTTAAGCTGTTTTTCAGGAACTTGGAGTCAGCTCTGGTCCAAGTCAGGTTCCAGCCAGTTAAGACTGGTTAGGACCACTGACCCTTCATCTGGGTCTGTGAAAATGTCCAGTGGATGACCTTTTGATGTCAGAAGGCTAAAACTTCACCCTCAGATCATACCAGCGCTGTCACTTTTAGAATATGAGTCCCATGAAGAAACATGTAACTCGGATATGCCTCCACAGAGCACCAATGACTTCATCTTTTCCTTACCTCCAATCCCCTTTTTCCAAACTTCAAACCACCCTGCTTCTCTATCTGTAACCATCCCAAGCCCCTCTCCTTTGAGGAGGAAGATCTGAGACTTGCTTGATGAATACATCTCTGCTCTTCATTTTAGTATTTGACTTGATGCGCGTCGGGCAAATGAACCTGGTTCCATAACCGGGTTTGTTCCAACACATGAGAGACCCATGAGCAATTTCAGAAGGCAGAGTCAGGGTCCATGAGGTCTTCCAGAAGAAGAAAAGGGTTTGCTCTGAAGCTCAGTGGACTGATGTGTTGACCAGACAGAATGTACCCTTGTTTTCCGGGGAAACAAAATATAACTTTGGATGAAAGGCTAAAAACCTCAGCAAGAATAAAGACAGGATAGTGAATACAAAGGACTAGGGCTTGAGATGGGGGAAGGGACCCCTGGGAGAGGGAAACAGTGAGGGGCTGTTTAATGTTTTCTGAGTAGAACCCAGGGCTTTAAACTGGTGCCAAGCTAATTGAGTAATGTGCGGCTTTGTGCCTGTAACTTCACCTAATCTCTATGTTACCTGGACTTTGAGATTCTCTGGACTTGTAGTACAAACTGTTTGTTCACCTGAACTGATGATATGTTCTAGTTCAATGGCGACAGTGTGAAAGGGACATGTCCGCAAAGTGGGGGGTGGGGGTTGCTGCGAAGAGAGTTCAGAACACCAGGGAGTATTCTCTCTAAAGAAAACAGTCCCGGTTTCTCCCAGTGACACTAAGAGAAGCACTCAGAGAAACGATAGAGGGAACCAGAAGGCCATGCTTCTTGTCTGGGAGTTTCAGAGGAGCTTACCTCACCTGCTCTGCTTGTTGGGGCATACTCTGTTCTGAGGAAATGGCCTGACCTTGCTTTGGCTACACAGACTTGGCTTCTCAGAGCCGCTGGGCTGAGTCACCAGCAGTGCCTATGTTATTCCAAAGCAGCAGCAAGAAAGGTTGACTGAGTCCTGCTGCCTCCATGAAGCTTTGGATGGTCTCCAAACATTTAGAACTTCCCTAACGCTATCAAGAGAAGGCAGCCAACTGGAACGTCCTTCCAGAGGAATTCCTGCCTTCATCAGGAATCTGGGTGAGATGAGAGATTAAGTAAATGCACTGTCAGTTCAGATTTAGTAAGGCAGGTTGATTACCCCATGGAAGTGGGGAACGGGAGCGGGTAGAGGAACTTGTGCCTGAGGGACCAGACAATTTACTGAAAGCAGAAAGTTCACCATCAGAAACCCCAATACTTAGAAATCAGATACTGTGAATCCACACTGTAACACTATGGAGAAGCATTCCTTGTAAACCTGAGATAATTACAATAATATTATCAATACGGAACTGGCATTGAACTTGCGTGCATGCATGCTAAGTCACTTCAGTCATGTCCAACTCTTTGTGACCCCATGGACTATAGCCCATCAGGCTCTCCTGTCCATGGGATTCTCCAGGAAAGAATACTGGAGTGGGTTTCCATGCCCTCCTCCAGGGGATCTTCCCGACCCAGGGGTTGAGCCTATGTCTCTTATGTATCACACATTGGCAGACAGGGTCTTTACTACTAACTCCACCTGGGAAGCCCTGGCATTGAACTTACAGCATGTCTAACCCAATAACTGAGCAAATTGAGGGCTAAGAAAAGGCGATGAACTCAAGGTCACACCATTTTTATCAAAGTGGCTCAACACGTGAAAATATGCAAATGACTCATCAGTTTGTTTCTCTGGGACCTTCAGAAAGTTGGAGCTGCCTTTCAACCCAAAGACAGCCCTGTACTGGAAACAAATAATCCCTCTTTCAAACTAACAAACAAAAATAGAACCTCTTAGGGAATTCCCTGGCACTTTAGTGGTTAGGACTCTGACACTTAAACTGCTGGGCCCTGTGAGGTCAAAAAAAAAAAAATGTATATATATATATATATATATATATATATATAGAACCCATTAAAACAAATAAAATAGCAACCACCAAAAATATAACATCACAAAATAAAACAATTCCTCTAGCCCCAAATTTAATTTTATTAAAAGGAGTATTGTTACAAAGAAATTGGCCAAAACTTATGAGAGGGAGTCAATTTACCTGTCCAGACCGAACCCATCTGAATCTTAAGAACTTGACCCCTTCCACATTTTAACATTGAGTTGCTGTCTGGTGTCCACTCAGCGAGGGACAGTCTTCCCCATCCTGCTGCCCGAGTGGTGCTGCTCAGGGATGGGGTCCGTGCCCAGGAGGCAAGGCAGCCCACGAGGAGAGCTGACCAGTCCTGGTGGGATGAGAGCTGGAGCTACTGAATGGAAGCCACCGGCTCTGAACCGACTGTGCCACGAGGTCAGACGCTGTTTTCAAATAAACACAGTCATTTGTCTTGGGGAGATCTATCACCATGCTGGGGGATCCACAGCGAGGGATACCCTCCCTGGCTCTTCTCAGAAGAAAGAAATCACTACCATACAGAGAATGATGATGACTTCACAGCTGAGTAGAATCTCGAGTGCATCTCAGACCATGCGGTGGTGAGCAGAGCCAGGACTTGGAGAGTTAAATGGTGAAAAGAACATGATCCCGGTTCCAGTCTCAGCTCGAGCGTTCACTGGCTAAGTGAGCTCAGTTACTCAGTTATTTCGATAACTTCATCTGTAAAGTAGATGAGGTACTTTTCAAGGCTGCTAGGACCATGAAGTAAGGGGGGCGGGCAGCATAAAGTATGGCTACAACAAGCGGAGGGATCATGCCTTACTATTTTTGCCTCCACTTCATGTTCCACCTGGCTTCCCTGGTGGCCCACATGATAAAGAATCTGCCTCAGGGACTTGAGTCGCTTGCCTGTTCTAATCGCCTCCTGGTCACTTTGTTGCTGACAGAGGGATCCTCTGGCCTAAACAGTATAAGATGTCTGGACACACGACCCTGACAGCAGTTCCTTAGTCACTTATTCTCCGGGCCCGGGGCAGGAGGACACCGGATGCTAACCACCTGGAGCAGCATGAACTAGAAGGGGCCGTGGAAGATGTGTGCTCAGCTGCTCACAGGTGTCCGACTCTTATGCAGCCCCAGGGACTGTAGCCAGGCCCCTCAGTCCAGGGGATTTTCCAGGCAAGAATAGTGAAGCAGGTTGCCATTTCCCCCTCCAGGGGATCTTCCAGACCCAGGGATCGAACCCACGTCTCCTATGTCTCCACCACTGGCAGGTAGATTCTTTGCCATTGAGCCACGGGGGAAGCCTGCAGTATGCAGCAGGCTTTGTAATACCAAGAGGGTGTGATGGTCCCTGATTCCCACAGGAGGATGCGCTTGGCTTGTTGGACTAATTTAGTAAGCTGATAGGGTGGTAAATATCATTGGGTTGAAGACCAGGTCAGGTGTAAGCTGGTGCAGCTAATAGAAAAACTAATCAGGTGGGGAGACTTTCCTACCAGGTCTGGGTAAGCATATCTGGTGAGAACAGGGGGATATCCTG